ATTTTATTGCTCAAAGATGAAAATGCTCGAGCTTTAAGAGAATTGTTCTTTGTTGATCAAAAGATGCATTTTCTTCTTTTGGTACAAGATAAGATCATCTAGAAAGGACGTCTCATAGACCTTATAGTTTTTTGAATCAATAAGTGGTTTTAAAATTGAATTTAGATAAAGACATACTCCAACAGACTTGATGATGGTTCAAAACACGTGTTGACATGAAATACTTAAGGTTCTTATGATATGTATATATAATATCAAGAATGTAAGATTATATGCCGAGTTAAAAAAGTATGTATTCCACCATACTCAAGTTGACTTTTTAGGATACATCATTTCCAATGAATGTCTTATGATGGATTCCAAGGTCCAAACTATCATAGATTGGAAGATTTTAAGAAGTGTACAAGATGTGCAATGTTTTTTGGGCTTTGCTAATTACTACCAAATCTTCATCGAGAATCGCTTTACTTACACATTTGATTTGCAAAGATAAAATTTAATAAAATAAAGAAGTACAAGCATCATTTAATGCTTTAAATAAGAAGTTTACTTTTGTACCAATCTTATATTGTATCAACTTCTCTAAAGTATTTTTTATAAAAATAGATATGTCAGACTTTGCCATGGATGTTGTGTTGTCACAAATATGATTAGGTAGAAGTAAATAAATCTAAATTAATTTCATAAAGCCATCTAAAAAAGCTTCCTAAAAGCTTCATAGATGAAGTTTTAACTTTAGATGTATATGTAGGTTAGAAACTTGGCGAACAAGCTAATCACGTGTTAGTAGCTTTTAGAATAAGCTATCTATGTGGTGTATACATAGATAATTTGCCTTGCAAGTTAAGACATGTAGCTAGCAAAGTCAACAGATGTTGGAGGTCTTATAGAATATTGTGACATAGCTACTATTTATAGAATATATATAGAGGCAAGAATAAAGCCTTTTTTATTCTTGTCAATGTCTTTTTAGTCCTTAATCTTGTTTCAAGACTTTCTAGTTTTCTTCAATCACACAAGAGTATATTGAGAATTCTCTTTCTTTGAGATCCATGTCCTTGATAAATGATAGCTTGTGGTACAAGCTAACAATGTAGCATATATATAAGAAACTTATCTTGCAAATTAAGACATGTATCTCATATATTGGATACATGTTGCAAGTTCTATAAAATATTATTACATAACTCTTAACTATATAATATATATATATATAAAAATAAGAGTACAGTTTTCTTTTTTCTTAACAAATTTTTTCTTGTTTCTAGTCTAGTTTCAAGAATCTTTAGTTTTCTAATCTTTTATAATAGTCATTTTAATTTCTAATTAAATATATTTAATTTCATATTCATAGCTTATCACTTTTATTTGATTCATTTCTTACTTCTTTACATATCTTCTTTGAATTCTTGCACTTAATACCACGTCATTAGCCTTATAGACTTTTCCATCTTTTAGTCATTCTAAAATAATCCAATCCATCTACTTCAATCAAATTTATTTTAGATCTTCTTTTGTCAAATTTTTATTACTTTATTTATATAGTAATAGATTGTCTAAGCAAAATGATATATTTTGTGCCTTGTACAAAAACTTTAATGGATGAAGAAACAACCATTTTTTTTGGCAACTTTTATCATTAGTTTAGGATTCTAAATGATATTATATTTGATTTAAAACTCTAAATTATATTAAGATTTTGGAAGAAAATTTTTAACATATTAAAGATCAATATTAAGTAACTTTTAGCTTTTATTTTAAATTATTATACAAAAAAATGTATAAATTAAAAATTATTATAATATTTTTGATATAATATTAAATATTATTAATAAAAAAAATTTTAAAAAATCTATTAATAAAAAACCTATATTATAATATAAAATATTCTTTTAATTAAATTTTTTATTCTTTCTTTATTACAATTATTATCTATAATTTGATCTTTTTGATTTCAAAAAGTTAAAAATCTAACATTAAAGAAATTGAACAATAAAATAATAGAATTTTATATAACAACAAAGATACAACCAACTGAAATTGAAGAACAACAAAAAATCAATGCGTGTTCTTAAAAAAGAATAACTTTCATTCAAAGTTAGTGATTATATATGGTTATGCTATTATAATATCAAGATTAATTAACCTTATAAAAAGTTAAATTATTAAAGGCTTGGCCTATTTATCATCTAAAAATTAATTAATCTATGTACATGTTAATTACAATTATGATAATCAATGATGATCTATCATATGTTCTATTTGTCTTTTATTAAGCCATATATTTTAATTAATATATTATAAAGAAAAAAATTACTACTATCTAATATTGACATAGATTACAATCCAAAATTCGAAGTAGAAGAAGTTTTAAAATGAAAGTAGAATATAATTCAATTAAAATATCTTGTACTTTGGTGTAGATATAATATTAATAAAATATACATGGACACTATCTAAGAATTTTTCAATTACATTAGAGTTTGTTGTATTTTTTATTAATAATATTTATTAAAATAAATGACTAATTATTGGCAATAAGATAGTACAATTCAAAAAAACATGAGTTCATATATCAAGCTATAGCAATTCTTTATCAAATATGAAAAACCAATACAAAAAAAATTTATTTCTAGTATTATTATTTGTAAAATTATTAAATAAAGTTTTTAAGTTGTTTCCACCTAAATAATATTATTATTGTAATGAAGTCCTTAAGAGAGACATATTATTCTTTAAATAAATGGCAAGATATAATGTATTTTATACCACAACCTTCAAAGAATCTATTGATACTTAGTAATACTATTAAAAGTCAATATTATATTTGATAGAATAAAAAACGTGTTATTTAAATATAACTATGAAGGTTTGAGAAATAATTAAATAATTAGAAGTTCTCTTTTATCTTGATATAAGATATTATTAATAGTTAAAGAAATTTATCAATCACATTTGTTCAAAATATAGATCAAAATTTGTTGCTAATTCCATTTAACAAATCTTGGACTTCATCAACTTTTGAAGTAATTTGACCACTAATTGTAGTACTTGTTATTTAAAAGAGAAGGTAATCTAACGGACATTCATAATATTTACATAAAAAAGAATAAATAGAAATAAATAGAATTAAATAAAAGTTGATATAAACGTATTGAAAAAATAATATCTTTTTTTAAAAAATTCTTAGACACAAATTAGATATTTAGACTTTTATAAATAATTTATGTAGCTATTGAAACTTGTTCCACCAATTTCTTATCTATTTAAAAAAATTATTGGAAGCAACCTATAATTGGACACTTAAGCTACAAACCTTGTGATTCATAGAAAGCTTCTATGAAACCTTCTTTATAATTAGTATATATGAAGACAAGAGTGAAGCTATTCTTAATCTTATCAATACCTTCTTGTATTCTAGTCTCAATTCAAGATTCTCTACTCCCTTTGTATTTGGCAATAGTTATTTTAGTTTCTTCTTATCTTAAACTATCTTTGATTTGTCTACTTTTTTATTTGAGTAAAATAATAATATTTTATTTCTTTAAGATTTTGTCATAATTCATGTCCTCAATCTAACATAATTATATCTTCTATCTAACATTCAAAAGATTCTAATAAGTAATAAATATTAGAAATTAATCATTTTGGACATTGGTATCAAGAACTAAACACAAACTATTACAAAAAAGAAGATATATTAAAAAAAAATAGGACCATTGCCTTTACTACTAGCTTTGTTTTTTATTTTTATAATTTTGTATTTAATACAAAAAAATATACATTATTATTATTATAGACATTTCTAAATATATATATCGATAATTGGAAAATCAAATAATTCTTCCAACTTCTCATTTTCTTATCTAACAACATCAATTGTTTCTTTTGAAAATTTCGTCAATTAAGATGCATTTGTACGATTCTCATTCTCTTCTCTCTTTCCTTCGAATTCACATAATATATTCTCATAAGAACTTGGAGAACCTCACATGCAGCACTCTGTTACACTACAATAATTAATCTATGAGTGGTATCAATTTGGATACTATCCATCATGTTACTTATTTGGTAACCTCCGACGACAGGACTGAGCTAGAATCCAGTTTTATACAGATTTTGCAAGATTTGTGATAATAGATATTAATCAACCATTTTATTGCTCTACTTTATTGCTTACTTCTCCTTTACACTCTGATGCCACTTCCCTTCTACTCCCCTACGAACCAGGTTTGGATTTCTGTGGGCGAGTACAGGCGGGCGTCATCAAAGAAAAATGTTTATGTAATCGACTGTCCATTCGAACCCTTGGCTCCTGCTCACCTCGGATCCCTGGGATCCGGTTTACACGGGCGACCGCATCAAAAAAATTAATAATGTTGCCTGGTAATTGTTAATGGATGATTGCTACAATCAGCACAATTTTGTTCAGGAGGATATTTCGCCCATGGCTTACAGCTGTCCTATGCCATCGCAAGGATATAGCATTGGACTGTTGCTGCCATCGCCATGCAAAAGAAGCACTTGACAGCTAGTTACTTCAGTTTTTGCACACTGCGGGTTGCAGAGGTAATTGTGCGCTGCTGGACAGATACATTGATCGAGGCTCCAGGCTAAGATGTTACTTTTAACCATATATGAATAATTATGTAAGAAAATGATAATTCTTCATGTGAATATTCTTTGCAGGTGCGTCGATAGATAGACTTATCTTCTCCTCATTCTGTATCCCCTCGCAATTAGAGAAATATGATCAACACAAATTTGTGGGTGCCACGTTTACGCTACTCACATTAACGTTGAAGGAAGAAGTGGCAAAACTAAATTACACAAAGCGAAGAATGATACTTACAACCACCACCAACATATCTAGTCAACATATCCAAAACAAGCAATCAGAAAGGAGACACAAAATATGGACTGATTGAGCACACCACAAAAGTACGACGATCCTCTGTACCCACAACGGGTGTGGACACCACTAATAGGAAACCAAGCCATGGTTGGGAACTGACCAAGAGACGTTTATTTAAAAAAATAAAAGAGCATAAGAAACGCCAGATCTACAAAGAGAAACTCTTGTCACTAGAAGGGTAAAACCTAGTACACGTAGTTCTTCACATGCAAGCTCTCTGTGCCTTCACCTGTTGAGCTTCCACCGTAGGTACCCAAAGTAGCTTCGGAGTTGGCCTTAGCACGTACATGAAGAGCATCCTGTGCAGCCTTCACATTCTCCTTCTTCCCGCCCCATGTCTTCAAAACGGTGGCCTGCAAGGCACGACCAAAAGAGAATGACAGGGTCCAGGGCTTGGTTGTCTTCAGCGCGTTCATTGCATTCAAGTTCCGGGTAGCCTCCTCCTCGGATTGTCCGCCAGACAAGAAAACGATGCCTGGAACTGCAGGAGGGACGGTCCTTTGGAGAGTCCGGACAGTGTACTGGGCAACCACCTCAGGGGACACCTTTTCGGCGTCCGATCCGGGCGTCACCATGTTCGGTTTCAAAAGAGTACCTTCCAACAGGACATTCTGATCGTTGAGGGCTTTGTAGCATGCAGCCAACACCTTCTCAGTCACCTCAGCACACTTTTCAATGGAGTGTAAGCCATCGACAAGAATCTCGGGCTCAACGATAGGCACAAGACTGAAAGAACAAATTGCAATATGATTAGTGAGAATCCTCGCATCTGAAGCCGAGATTGCGCTTAAAGCAAATGCATGGACACAACTCGATGCGATCGGTTCGCCAAAGTGGCGCACGGAGACAAGGACAAAACCCACGTGTCCACACAATTATGACATCAGTGTACTACCAGATCTTTAACCTGAAGAATATATCGAATACGATGAATCACATTCGAAAGATGAAAACGTGAGACTTTAGGACAAGTTGTAGTTGTAAATACCCATTCTCTTGGCAGATGATAGCATATCTTGCCAGTCCTTGCGCATTCTGTTGGATAGCAAGCTCGGTGGGCTCAAGCGCTCCGATCTTCAACACGGCTCTCCACTTGGCGAATCGTGCACCTGCGTTGTAGTACGCAGCACACCTCTTGTGGAGGTCGTCGAAACCCTGGGTGGTTGTCTCTCCATTCGTTCCCCAAAGCTCAATGGTACCTTTGTCCACCTTAATTCCGGGAATGATGCCGTTCTCCTTCATGACGTCAACAAAGGGCTTTCCATCGGAAGTTTTCTGGTACAGGGTCTCTTCGAAGAGAATGACCCCACTCAAATATTCGCCCACCCCGGGAGTGGTGAACAGAAGCTCTCTAAGAGCTTGCCTGTTGGCCTCAACATTCTCAACCTTGATGCTCGATAGCCGCTTCCCAATGGTACCCGTACTCTCATCGGCAGCAAGAATACCCTTCCCGGGGGTGGCAACATACTTGGCGGTGGCCTGGAGCTCCTCAGCATACTTACCCGAGTAAGGCGCCATTTCTCAAAACAGCTTAACCAAGACACCTGCAATCACCCCATAAAGACAGTGTAAGGTCATCCGGAAACACCACATCCCATTCCGAACAACCCTCACACACACGTAACGATACTCCCAACACCACAGACGATAACGACGACCTCCGACACACGCGTAACCGAACAAAACCTCCATTGATAAAAGAATCTACTAAAGCGACACGAAAAAAAAAAAAAAAAAAAAAAAAAAAAAAAAAAAAAAAAACCACTCCAAATTTCTCAACAATATTCCGAATCAGGAAAAACAATCGACATCAAGCACCACTGCGGGGAGGCTAACCTCGGAACTCTCAGAAACAATACCCACTAAACATCAAAGGAGATCCACGAAAAGTACCCAAACCCAACTCGCAATAACGATCACACCCAGATCTTCAGCCCCCAAAAAGCACCAGCAAGACGCCGCAAAAACAATCTTCGATTTGTCTAGAGAGGGCTTCACGCCGGTAGTGGAAACTGAGAGGGTCCCTTATACTCACTCCATAGCTCTGTCGCCGAACATCAACTATTGTGTGTATCTGTATCGTGTACCGTATATTGTATAGTTACCGGGTATAGCCGGAATCCGGTGGACGGGATCTGATTCCTGGAGGCGATTCGCGTAAGTGCAGCCTGACGACGGTGACCTGGAGGGAAGGTACCCGGTGAGAGCTTATCCCGATCCTGCGGCAACTCCAACGAGGATGCGGGGAACGTCATGGGAGCTTGTGGGTGACTGGGGTCCGAAAGGGTAGTGGGGGCGTTCCCAACGGCGATGAATCAGCATTGTAATTTGGGGGGGCTGGTATGATGGGCTCAGCCTGACTAGACAGGCTCAAGGATAGGCTTGGAGCTTATATATATATATATATGTATATATTCCTATCTTATTATTCTCCCCCTGAGCCCGTTTAGAATATAAATAAATACTAATTGTTTGATGTGAGAATGCTTGACTTGTGCTGCCCTAACAACGTGGGCAGCCGGGGGAACACATCCAACCCACAGTCTAAAAATATTTTTTTTGTTCATGGCAAGGTTTTTAACACTTCATGTTGTTGTCAGAATGTGCAACTTTGTCATTTGCTGGTGTTCAGTCTTGTATAAAATTATATATATATATATATATATATATATTAGTCTAAGACATGTTCTCTTTATGAGAATGTTAACAACCAGGTGATGATCAATGAAATTTTTGGAAAAATATGATTGAACCTTTTATTTATGTTTCTTTATAATTGTCCACTTTGTCAAAGGTTAATTGCACAATGCAATCTAATTTATCTTGAGTAACTTTACTTTAGGGAAAAAGTTTACTATGGTTCACACCAATTGTGCATTCGAACAATGTCAGATGAATGGCCTTTGATCATGTAAACAGAAATATTTTTGGTATTTGTGAACACAAGTAATTGAAAAATGAAATAGTGTGGCATAATAATACAGATATTAATGCTTGAAATTATTTGTTGAATATTCAAAAGATCATTGACTTTTTGTTGGATTGTTTAATGTCAAAGTACTTATTCCCCTGTGTCATGTTTATGTTAACCATCCTTGAATGAAAATTCTGTGAGTTGATGTGATCTTCACATGAGAGAAAAGCCCTCCTTGCTTTCAAAAAGCACTATAAAATCACTGTAATATTGTCTATGGACAATTTTAGATATAAAGGTTTTAAACCCACAGATTCAAGCATCCAAACTGACCCACAGCATAAGGAAATCTAATCTTGTATCCAAATGCACAAAATGTCCTTTGAAACTTGCATCAAAGAAATGTATAACAATATAGATAGATAGACACATAGATTATAATTTTTTTGATGTAGCCATGAGATTGAACAAATGTTACATGGATATTTCCAAGCTTACTACAAACCTTTGAACAATACTTGGCTTGTGTCAACAATTGTTCATTTCTTCATACACTTATAGAATGTGAATTTTGCTCCACCTAGCTTTGATTATTATTGTGTTGCAACACAACACAATAGGTAAATAAAAAATGATTTCCATTGAAAGATGAGTAAGTATAAATATATATATATATATATACACACACATATCAAACAAGTCTCTTATGAAGAAGAATAAAAAGAATAAATATTTTAGAGAAGTACAATCATTTAAAAACAATGTAACTTTGCATCACTAATGCATTTCAAAAACGAATATAAATACTCATTATTTATTGGAGCATGAAATGAATCAAAATAATCATTTATTTTCTAGTGTCAGTGAAGTGATCACATGTAATCATTGGTTGGTGTAATCCAATCCAATAAACACATGTCTTGTGTTCCTCAATTTTATGATCTTGTGATCAGTTGGACAATGCATCAATTAAAATTTTAAATTGCTTCCCAGTAGATCACATCTCCTTCAAGTTGAATGCATCGCCATCCAATCTTTGAGATCCTTTTGGGGTGATTTTTCTATATTCACAAGAGTAAAATTTTGCTTTCTCTTGATGCTAGATATGAATCTTATAAACAAAAACAAAAACAAAACAACACAATCTTGACTTTTCACTAAATGCTTTGCCTCCATGCTCCATTGCAGTAAACATACACAAGTGCACATATATATATATATATATATATATATACATATTCTAAAGGGAATGAATTTAATAAAATAAATTGTTCCTTCCTGTCAACCAAAATTGCATTGTGCAATTAGAAAATAAAGTTCAAAAAAGTGGTGAAGGAGAAAAAACAGTCAACAGTTCACTTAGCAAAAAGGAAACTCATGCTTTGAAAAGGTTGAATTACTTTAAAGCAGATGGGTCTAAAAATATCAGTGGCACTGTGGTTGGAAAAAACATTCTGCTGCTTCATACAATGCCCATTTGGAATACAATCCATGGGCATGTGTTCATTTTGTACTGTGTGCATTGTTTGCCATGTATATACTGCCAATAGGCTTTAAAGCCCGATTGAATAACATACTATTTTCAACTGCAAGATTCAAAATCATGAAAATTAAAAAAAATATATATATATATATATATATATAAAAATTGAAAAAAAACTACAAATTCAGAGTTGTATTTTTATTACAATACTCTTTTATAATGGAATAATTCTACAGATACAAAAATTAAAGTTAACACTCAATATTTATAAATAAAATGGAATAAAATAATTCCTGTCAAGTACTTTCTTGATTTTTAGTACTAATTATAATACGTGTGTGTGTGTGTGTGTTTTTTTTTTCTTTAAGAAACTTTATTGAATTTCAATACAAAACCCACTATTCTAAATCATGTTGTACTAGATATCAATGTGTATAAATGTAAAGGACTTTGATATCTATTACAACATGATTTAGAAGAGTGGGTTTTGTATGAATGTAAAGAACTTGCATGTGTTTTTAAACTAAATAAATCAAAGGAACTAAGTTTGGCTTAAAAAAAACAATGTATTTCCTTATATTTCTCATAAACCACAATGTAATAGAATTTTTTAGTTTATCTTTATTTAGAAAAAACAAAAAAAATCTCAAAAAAAATATGTTTTTCAAATTGAGTGTTGGTTATTTACATTTTTAATACAAGTATGATTTATTTCTTTTTAAAGACAATGTTTCAATCAAAATATATTTTGATTACAGAGGTGTACATATACATCAATCTTGAATGAGTAGATTGGTTTTGGCTAAAAATATTATTCACTTCAGAATAATAATCCATGCTTGAAAGGAGATTTTGAAAATATGAAAGCTTGTTCTTTTATAACTTATTTTGCCAATTTTGTTTAATTTTAATTTGTTGGTATTGTCTTTCCGTGAACTTTAACATGCTTATTTGACACTCAACATGTTAAATATTAGGTTGTAAAATTTAAGTTGAATTTGAAATAGTTCTATACTAAATTTAGACATATTGGTACATATAGTGTTATGTTGTTAGTGTTTTACTATTATTAGCAACTAAACGATATGTACTTTCCATCTTTTGCATATATTCATTCTTAGTTGTTGAATGTGTTGATTCAATATATATATATATATATATATATAAAATTTAATTTAATATTTTTTTCAAAACGATTTAATAAAAATTAAATACACATTTTAATCATAGTTAATATATTATTTTGTTGAAAGTGTTTAGTGACTGTTAATAAGAATAATTAAATGGATTTGAAGTACATGTGAATCAAACCTTTCTTTGGCTATTGTTGAGTCTAAGATATTTATTTCTTTCTTAACTGTAAGTTGTTTTACAGTATCAACTTTTTGAAAAAAAAACAAAAAGAAAAAGAAAAGATTAATCATTGTAAATCAGTATAGACTGTATGTATGAATGTACATACATACATAGAGAGAGAGACCAAATTATGTTGAGATGATTCTTATGTTTCCACACCAGACAATTTCAGTTTAGAAAAGCATATTTTGTTAGACTTCAACATACAAATCAACATACACCATAATTCAAGCAGAACTAGAAAGGGCTTCGAAACAAGCTTCTTTTCTTTTCTTTTAAATTGTTTTAATTGTTTGCAATTACAGTCCACCCATTTTGACAACTACGTACTTATACATTTTAAAAGACTTCTGAAGCATGTGTTTTATTTATTAATATTGATTGTACTGAAATCTTGAAACACAGGGATTTATCCAGGAAGACAACAATTTCATGTTGCAATCGGAACCATCAACTTTGTTTGGAGCTAACTTGCAAGCACTTCTCCAAATACCCTAATGTATTTTTATTTTTATTCTTTGAAAAAATTCTCTTCACATGAGCACATCCGCCCACCACTGAACGGTGCTGAAGCATTAAGGACTCCGAGAAAGCCACACTCTAAATCCGCTTTTGCAACTGAGCACAAGCTGGGCCTCTGGTTTTGATGCACCCCAGCCTCACAGCAGCAACAACGTCAACCGAAGTATCATCTTCATCAACAACTGAATCGACCAACCCAAACCTTGTAGCCTCCGAATGTGCGAAGCACACCATCTTATCAAAATCGTGTCAATGGTAGAAAATTAACATTCATTCATTCACATACACACACACGTACGTATGAATACGTTCGTTCAAGTTTCTAGAAATTGGGGTGACGGCCATTCCAAAGCATCGTGTTGTGAAGTTCAACCCTGTTCGTTGAGCGGATCTCTCCATGGCTCTCTACCTTTCTTTCCTCGCCCAAACGCAGAATTCTGAGATTAGAGTTTCCCTGCCGCTTGTGTGGCGTTGGGCAGTCATCGTCCACGCGGTTGGCAGCGTTGGCCTACCCACGGACGCTCTGCTGCCGATTGTGGGTTTTTGGGGGTCGTTACGGGAAGGAGAGATTGCCGATCGGGTCCAGTGATATTCTCATGTGGTGTCGGTTAGACGGGTAAGGTTTGCATCACGTTGCTTGCGTGGGATGTGGCCTCATACCAGTAGTGGGTTTGCAGCGACGGTTGTGTCGTTTTGAGCTTAGCAAATTTTCTGAAAGGGGCACAAGGG